AGTAGTTTCGTGCTTAGAACTCGACCCTGCACTTCATCCAAGCTTTTGTGAGTCCCATGAGGAACCGGAAGATTCTTTTCTGCTCCACAATTTCTCTGTATTTCTTAGCATCTTCTGGGCAGCTCCATTGATGATCTTCAAAGACGTCGAACTGTTGCTAGTTGCGAGTGAGAGCGTTATAGTATTGAGTAATGTTTAGCTCACCTTACCGCAACTTGAGGAAGGTGGATTCGACTTCGAAAATTACTGAAATATTTTCGCAGCTAGAGTAAAACTCACGAGCAGCTTCCCAGACTTCGTGAGTTGTCTCGTACAAGAAGAAATTTTCACTGATTTCGGGAGTCATGAGCTTAGCAACCAGAACATTACCATGCTGTTGTCGATTTTCCAAGTTCGAGCATGTGGGTCATTCGATGGAGGTTCTAGAGCTTCTCCTGTGAAATATTCATCGCGTCCTTTCCCTCAGATGAATAGCCGCACAGACGTCGACCATTGGAGGTAATTATCATCATTGAGTCGATGATTGGTTATGAACGATGAATGTTGCTCCACCATTCCAGTGTTGATGGAGTTGGGGAGATACGTACCCGAAATAACATCGGGTGATGAAGAGTTTCGGTCATCCGTGGCCATTGAAGAATCTGGCGCACACGGAAGGAGATCTGGATTAGAGGAGCTCTGATACCATGAAAATTTTAATAGAAGCAGAGTTTGGGAGATAAAATGAGAGGTTTTTCTCTCCTTTATTACTTACTAAAATAGAGAGAGTGAGGTGCCATTTATAAGCACTCATTGCTCTGATGTCACACCAAAGGTGAGGGTGTGAGAGAAAAACAGAAAAAGAAAAATAAGCAACAAAGGTAACCAATTTCTAGTGGTGATGGTGGACATTCCACTTGGGCAGAAAGAGTAAACACTAAACTACCCTTATTCTAACATTTTTTACACAGCCCTTATAAAAACTAGGTCAACTCTTTTGTCCAATAATTTCCTAGGTCCCACTTCATGAATTCTAAACTGTCTTGCATCAATAGGAACCTTTTTTTTTTTTCTTTGACACGAACATCAAAGGGACATAATGCAACTCTTACGTCGAAGCAAAGAGATTGAATCAATATATCTCCTCGAGAGCTTCAAAGCACATGTAAGGACCACAATACCAGGTTTCTCCTCATACAAAGACCCAGAGCCAAACATCAATTCAACAGTCACTAGATCATGCAAAACAAAAGGTATAGGAAGGACTATCCATCACTATTTTTATTGAAACTACTAAATATTTTTTTTTAAATAAAAAACTACTAAATATTTTTTGAAAGCACTAAATGTTAAACTTTACATAAACACGTAAAGAAAGTACATTCTTTGCAAAATTGATGCTTTTCATCTACATTAAAAAATACAAGAAAAAGAATGCTGTTTTTTCTTAATTGAAACAAGAAGCAAATACTTACAGCTAGTTCACGGTCTACTAACTGGATATGCTTCATATGGCATTCGGTGCATATGGTGGAAGAATATTGTCATACAACAGGCTTGGAATGCCAAGTCCAGTTGTATTACAGTTACTCTCAAGCAGCCACTGGAACATCTGCAATTATCCTTGAAGGAACAGTCTCTTTTGAGAGAGACAGACCAATCATTAGGTCCTCCAATGCCATTTGCTTAATGCGAAAGGCTTCCTTAGGCATTCCAGCCTTCAAAAGGCAAGATATCAGAGAACTCACGGTAATGGTATCTGGGATACAACCAATTGCCAACATTTTATTGAATATGCTAATTGCCTCAAACATTCTCCCTTTCATACAATGCCCAATTATGAGAATTGTAAATGTCACCTTATCATGTTTACATCTTTTCTCCTCCATCTCTACCACAATTGCATTTGCCTCATCAACATTTCCTGCCTTGCAAAATCCATCAAGCACAGGGTTATACACAAACGGTTTTGGAACAACATCCATACATTTCAATTGCCTCAAAAAATCACGAGCCTCATGTATCCTATTCTCTTTGCAGAGAGCATGAATAAGAATAGCATAAGTGTAAACATTAGGAGATAGGCTTCTTGAATTCATCTGATCCCAAACTCTCAAGCCTTGGTTTACTTGTCCTGCTCGACAATAACCATCAACCAAGGAAGTGAAGGTAACAACATCAGGAAGACAACCAAAAGAATGCATCTTCCCACATATGGATTCCGCGGAAACCATGTCACCAACTTTTCCAAAGCCATCAACAAGAACATTAAAAGTGATTGTGCTGGGCTTTGTTCCACAATTAATCATTTCATCAAAGAGAAGAGATGCCTCCTTCATCTTCCCCAATTTGCAGTAACCTGATATGATTGATGTATAGGTCACAACATCTGGTAAAGAATTATCTCTCGACAAAAGTTCAGTCAGCAAGGCATGTGCTCTTTCTACTTCACTAATCCTACACAATCCATTTATAAGAGTGTTATAAGTAACAGTGTCAGGAGAACAACCAAAACTCTCCATATTATTGAAAAACTTGAAAGCCTCTTCAACTTTTCCTAGACCACACAAGCCCCGAATAGCAATATTGAAAGTCCAGGTATCCATACAAGAAGCTAATCCCAAATGCTCTTGAAATAAACTAACAGCCTCCTCTATATGATTCTGCTTAACCAAAGCATTCAACAAGTTATTTAGTACAAAAGAACTAACCCCAATGCCATCAGACTGAATCTCACGAAGCAGCTTCTTTGGAAAATCAAACTTTCCCGCCTGTGCAAAGGATGTTACCAAAAATCCTAACATAGGACCATCCGGCAAGTGACCATCACTCCTCATGTAATCAAATACCATTTGAACTGAATCATGCAGACCCACTTGACAAAGTGATCTCATAAGCAAATTATAAGTCCAGAAAGAATGACTAATATCCAAATTTTCTCTACCTAACTCCAAAAACTTCAACCCGAGTTTTGGATTATTCAACCTCTTAATTACCTCCAATGCAATCAAAGGTGTCAAGTTCTTGCTCAAATAACAGGAAAAGGCATCGAGCGAATGCTTATGGATAAAGAGAGTGCACACAACTTTGACGAACCATGCCTCGAAATATTGTATTGCCTCTCTGCTACCATACAAGGGTCCAGAGCGAGATCCCCCGTTGGCGTCGGCGTAAGTGTGAAGATGAGCAATGGCGATCTTGGAGGCTCGAACCCTCGAAAGACGGGCTGTGAATAAAAAGAAGGTCATCTGCAACGCCAGGCCACTGCTAAGCTCAGTTCTATACTCACGAATCTCTCTAGCAAACACTGGAATTCTTTTGGGTCGCCCAGATTTTAATTTGGGTTTTTGCTTGAATTCTCTACTCTTCATGGGTATGGTGAAATTTGCCAGTTACGGCAGCATAGCAAATCAAATGAAACCAAAACAAACTACCAGAGAGTATACTACTCCATCTGAAACAGAAAACCCCAAGTAGGATAAGACCACGGTTCTTGTAATATGGTTGATTCTTTTAGCTTCTAATCGAATGTAACAATTCTCAAGAGAAGCCAGACGAGTACATACGAATTAAAAAGAACAAATTGACCAGAGAACAAAGACGGCATTTTTCCATATTCGAAATCTATCAATGCAGTTGGAGTTTTGCAGCCATGCTGAAGATGTTAAGATGATGTGAAAAATGTTTGATCTTTGATCAGGTAAAACTCAAAACAAAAACCTTTATGAGGTTCAGGAGCAGAAAGATGAGTGTTAGGGTTTTGCAGGATGCCTGGAATTAGAATTGACGCATTCCCAAATCAAAGTGAAAAAAATATTTTAAGAAAACTAAAATAAAGTACTGGGCCAGTATAACAAATATTGGTGAAGATAATGGGCCTAGTAATGAACCATCAGGATTGCTAAGGAGCGGCCCAGGCGGCGGCTCGAGCGAGCCAGGTGCATCAAATTCAACGCAAACAGCTAAGCTGATTACTGAGCGAAGCAACTGCAATGTTCTACTTTTTCTTTAATTTACAGATACATGAAGATTATTATCACATTCACTCCCCCTTAACAGAAAGGAGAAAAGAAGAGAAAATAATAAGACTGCTAGTATCGTTTCACGCTCTCTGTTTCATCAAAAATTCTACAGATAACTTCGGAAATCTCGAACATTAAAGAAGAAGAAGAAACACCTTTCAGGATGTCGAGTGAGAGACATGCTTCTTCCACTTCCACCACCCCTGAAGACAACGCCATGTAAGTTTTCGATCCTCCAATTCATTAAGCATTTTTCTTTGGTGTCGGTTTTTCTAATTGTCGATTGAATTATTATATAATGTAGGAAATCCATTAGAAATTAGAGAGCATTTTTCTTATTCTGCTATTAGGCGTCTTTTCTACCCTATAATCCTGTTTTAATTTTGTGCAACTGGTTTTATCAAAAAAGAAATAGCAAAAAATTAGTGTAACTCTTTTGGGAGTTTTTTGTCTTGTGCTTGAGACAACAATGTAAGGACTGCTATTGCATTTGAGAACTGAAACGGGTGCGTTGAAATGGCCCTTTTTCCGAAGTTTTACGAAACGTATATTCTGTTTTTTAATATATAGAATGAAATATATGTTGGGTAATGGAAGATACCTCTGCAGCTTAATTTGACATTGTGTTTGAACTATAACTTGTCATTCACCAAGAAAGAACTGCTTTTGCTTGATATCTGCCAGGAGAGAAAGAGAAAGTGACCAGTACCCGTATAGGGACCAGATTGAGTGGAAACTTAAACAGAATGGGGAATTCACTGTCAAGTCTTTTTATAAGTATCTAGTGGGTTTGAGAGCAGGACGGGATTCCTAACTATCCGGTTTATCAGATTTGGAAAGTGCAGGTGCCTTCAAGGGTCCCTTTTTTTGCTTGGAAGGCGAGCCCTGAGTGCATATTGACAATTAATAAGCTAATGAAAAGAGACAAAATAATGTTAAATGGGTGCTACATGTGTAAGAAAAATGTTGAATCATGTAATCACAGTCTACTATGGTGCCCAGTGGCCTATGAATTATGGACAGTGATTTATGGTTTGTTAGGGATCATTTGGGTTATGGCGGGGTCGTTGAGAGAAACTATGGGCTTGAGAAGGTTTATGCAAAAAAAGACAATTTGTAAATTTTATTCCACTTACTATCTTTTGGGTTTTATGGTAAGAAAGAAATAGTGGGGCTTTTGACAATATTGAGGGTGAGATATCTAAGATCAGGGATAAATGGTTGCATTCTTTTGGATCCTTGATTTTGGGGAATGACATTTATAGGATGGAAGATTTTGGGAGAGTTATTGATCTCCTAACACAATTGTAAATTCTTTGTATATGGGTGATACTCCCTTAGTACCTTGTGAATATCATTCTTTACACTTTTTATTTTTTAAAAAAGTGACTAGTACTCGTAGCTGATCAGTTAACCATTTGCTCCATAATAGGTTTCTCGACATACTGCACGAGGCTCCTTTATTAGGGCACCGGAAGTCTAGAAGTCTTTTCGGAAGCTATGTTTACTTTGTCATATTGGCAAGTAGTTTGTCCCTGTGAAAGCTAAAGTTCATTCACAATGAGGCAAACTTTGATATTTACAAGCGGTTGCGATTCACTCTTGTTTTGCTCGTTGAGGAAAAGAATATGAGTCTAGCTTTGTTTTTTCTTCAATTTTAGGTAGGTTATGCTATCTTGGCTGCAGCATCTCCATGGATATTTCACCTGATACGAAAATTAGTCCCACCATTGCTTTGCAGTTGCAATGTTGCTCTCCTACTAGTCACAGGTTTCATGCTTGATCTTACCTTGAATACATTTGTTTATGGGTCTAAATTTTCCACTGAGTACATTCTTCTAAAGAAAATTCTGACATCATTTTCTCTTTTACATAAAAGATGCAACCATCTCCAGTACGTTTTTTGCACATATTGAAATGTAATAATGTGTTTGAAAATGTAACATACATCACACAGTTGACTTGGTTCCTCACGGATTTGTAAGTAGAAAGCATATCTGGATTTTTTTTGTCATTGTAGCCAAATCTCTGAGAACTAGAGAGCAAAGGTTCTCCTGACATGGTATTGGTTTAGTCTTTTCATATGGCATAGAAAGATAGCTCTGAAGCTTTTTATTAAAAAAAAAAGATAGTTCTGAAGCCAAAAGTATAAGTCAAGGCACTAGCAATAACTGATAGATCAATAACATGGTAGTGCAGTTACTTTTTCTTAAAAAAAAAAAAAAAAAAAAAAAAAAAAAAGAAAAGCTATTTCAGTTGTTTAAAAGACAAGAAGCTAACACTTTACTATTGTATGATTGGATTGTTATTTGCATTTTTATATTCTTCACTTTGCCTGTCCTCTACCAAACACTACAAGATAGTTTCTAGTTTTTTATTTATCATGTTAATGAGTGCATATGTATTTCTTATGGATATCTGATCCTCCATAGATGTTTATATTTCACTCTTACAGGCATCTTTCAACAATATCTAGTTTATCAAGTCCACAAAATACGGTTACAGGTAACCTTGTTGATCAGTAAAAGACTTATATTCTTGAGTTTGTATTTTCTTTGTCACTCCATTTCATTAATTTGTTTTCTTGGGGTGGGGAGGAGTCATCTAATGGTACAGTAAGATCACTCATTATGGGAGGATGAGAGAAAGTTCTGTTATTCCCCTGGTTTGAGGAAGTTCCTTAAGATTTACTAACTTGAAAGTTTCTTATGCTGTTAGCTCAATAGTTTAATCACGAAAAGAGTTGACCCGCTCATTGAAATTGAATAAATTTTTCAACTGAAGTCATGGGTTATATTTCTGTCTGCAATGTTCTCTAGCCTGATCTTATGTACTTTGGATTAGTCTCTCTCCATTCTGTAAATTGCACTTTTTGATAGGAATGATAATTGTTAATGGTGCTGAATTTCTATTAGAAACCATTAAATGCAGATGTTCTTTTTGTAGGGATATTATAGTTTCAGTCAGAAGTTGAAGCATATAGTTCGTTTGCCATTCGCAATTACTGCATATGGTATGTGATTCATTTCTGAAGGAACCTTTTTCTTCGCTAATTTTAGTCCTTCTCTTCTTTTTTGTTTTTTTATCGAAGTAGTCAATTCTTGTTTTAGATCTCCAATTGCGAAAGGATTCACTAGTAAATCATAATAGCAAATTGTCCTTCAATTTCACAAAACTCTGCTTCGCTTACCATCTTTCATCTGAAAGCACTTGCAGTTCTCATGTTACTACCAGTACACACTGGCAAATCTGATTGCTGGGTGGGTTGAATGCAGAAAATATCAGTTGATCTAATAGTTACGAGTAAATTTTTCACAGGAATGAATAGAATAACCCACCTCAATGCAGAGCTTGGTAATGAAAAGGCATTCATGAATACCCCAAGATTGAACTGAACTAAACTGACTAATACTTTATTTAAGTGTCATCTCATTATGGAATTACCAGTTTATATTTTATAGTGAGGGAGAAAATGATTTCTTGTTGCTGCAATAGATAGCAACATAAGGCTTCTGCCTTCCCTGGGCTTGCACAGTACATCTTTTGACTGTTCCATTTATTACACGGTTGAAAGTCAAACCCTTGTTACATGAACTTTGAGTGTATGATTGAAGGAACAGGTCTAAATATTGGATAACTTAGGTTTTTCTTTTACCTCAAAGAAAAGTTACTGTTATTCTTTTCACTGTTCTTTATGTCAGTTAGCATTATAATACCATTCACAAGTATTCTTATAGATCTCATCTATGTTTGTGTTTTGAAATAAAGAATTCTTATTAATAGCTTGCATTTCCTTCTTTTAGGTCTTTCAGTTTTTCTGTATTTTTGAAACCATTATCATATTTGCCTCACACTCATAGTGCTTATTTAAATTCCATACTAGGAACTGCTGCAATGGTACTTGTCGTGGTTTGGAATCCTCATATCAATTTTCTTCCCATCTCTACTTTGCTAAGGTACATAAGCCTCTACCTTGCAATCTGAACCTATTTGTGTTTGCATGTGTATATGTTTGTTTAACATGTGCTATATTAATGAAATGAGATGGAATGAAATAATAACACCAGAATAACTGACCTTTTTTGCTTTGTTCTTTTAAAATACAAAATGAAACCTCACTAGCATGCACGACATTGACGGATGTTTAAAATTTCGGTAAGACATCTCTAGCTTTGGGTCGGGTCTCGGGCCTACTCAAAGAGAAGTCCCATAGGGCGAAGTTTGTTGGAACTTTGGTGATGCAAATTAAGATCATCTTAATTTGGAATAATATTCTATTGAAATCTTTTGTGATTATTATTATTATCTTGTATTTTTAAGTTATTTGGGTTATTTAGATTTGTATAGGTATTTAAATATTTTAATTTCTTTTTAGATAGATTTCAAATTTTATAGGAATTATAACATTTTAGTTTTTCTCTTTTATATTTGATATAATAATATTGTAGTTTTCTTTAGGTAGATTTTAAGTACTATAGGAATCATAATATTTTATATTTCCTCTTCTATAATTTTTCTTATTCATTGTAACTAGTGTCTATACAAAGGCTATTAGCTACTAACGAAGAAGGGATGAAAATTATGAATTGCTAGGATTTTTATTCCCTATTTTCTCTTTTTGTGTTTGTTATTGGGGTTGTTTTTCTGTCTAATCTATCTCATTAATTCTACTTCTCCAAATATTTCTTCATCTTGATCTCGAATCTCTTCTTATCTATCTTTGTTCTTCGATTCTGTTCCTTATATTTTCCTCTATTTCTCTAGTTTGTAGGATAATCCAGGTTCTACTATAATTATCCTATATCAGTTGGTATCATAGTTTTACTCTTATTACTACCTTTTGCCACTTTCTTAAGCTACAAAAAAAACATAAAAAAATCTCAAGTTTGTCACTGCATCAGATTGGTCAAATTGCACCTTAGAGTCACTTCAGAGTTGAGTACCTTTGACTCGAAAAAGAATCCATTTAACTTCTTGTTCCAATTCATCATATAATCTACCTGATTATATATTTTATGTAGTACCAAGTTTTTTGCCCCTATGGAGGCATAGAGAGTATTGAGATATGATCCACAGGTAATTTGTATTCAATGTCAATGTATAAGAGGTGTTCTTATGTGAAAAAGCTCTCTCAATGACCATTGCACATATAAATATCAAATATGTAACAAACTTATATTCAAAAGCTTGGCAAGGGTGAGATCTTCTGCAAAAGTGAAAGGCTGAGTTTAAGAGTAAAACTAACACTTCTTCTGTGTTAGAAGATGAAAAACTTGAAGTTCCTTCCATACCACCAGTAGCAGTTCAAGAGATATTAGTTCCTGTTGAAGTTGTTTTTTTTTACATGCTTGTGTTTTTCCTTTCCTAAGAAAATGTTTATGCTGATGGTGTTGAGCAACTTGCTTCTTTCAACAATTTTGTTCTACCTTTGCCATGGTGGTTCCTGTTCATAATGACTACATTAAAGAGTCTTGGGATAATTTTGTTTTTAAACTTCAGTAGGTGGAACCTATAATTTTTGGTTAAGCTTAATTTTTTTTTTTAGTTTGAAGATTATCTAAAGTCTCAACTTTTTGAATATTTTGAAGAACACTTTTGAGCTTTTTCTATCTTGATGTTCCACCTCTTCAAAATTCGACTAGGAGCTCTCATCAAGTGGAATAGAATGATGCATAACAAGAATATCTTAGTTTGGAGTAAATTTTCTATTAAAGAACTCTTTCATAATGATTATTATTATTTTGTATTTTAAGTTTTTTAGGTTATTTAGATTTTATTTGGGCATTTAAATATTTGAGTTTCCATTTAGGTAGATTTGAAAAATTTTACGAGTTAGAATCTTTTAAATGTCTTCTTTTATGCCTGATATTATAATATTTTGGATACATTATCTAATTAGTTTTTGAAATTTGACACTTATTATAATTTAATATTTTCTTAGTAACAGTTTAGTCCCTAAGATTTTTTATTTGTTTTAAATATTTAGTTTTTTTACATTTTCTAATAGAAAAGTTAAAATAGCTAAATCATGTTTAGATCCTTTAGAAAGAGATCAAAATAATTATTCTAACTAATTTAAATTAAATTAATAATTATGAATTTATTAATTTAGCTAATTAGTCGAAGTCAATTTTTTAAACTGTTTTTAAAACATCCAAATATGGTTTAATTGTTTTAACTTTTCCTATTAGAAAATAGAAGGAAAATATATGTTTGAAGCAAATGAAAAACATCAATGACCCAGTTGTAACAAAAAAAAAAACTAGAAACTAAATTGTAATAATTGTCTAACTATTTTGTTAGTTTGCTTTAATATTTTAGTTTTTTCAGTTGATTTTAAATATTAGAGAAATTAGAACCTTTTAGATTTCCTCTTATATAATTTTTCTTATTCATTGTAACTAACGCCTATACAAAAACTAGTAGCTACCAACAAACAAGCGAAGATAATTAAGAATATCATTTTAAAGGTTTTATTCTTTATTATCTCTATTTGTGTTTGTTTTTGGGTTATTCTATCATTGATCTCTAAATTCCTTAGGCTTATCATTGTTCTTCTTTTCTCTTCTGCATATTTTCCTCAATTTCTCTACTTTATAGGATAATTTGGTTCTACTGTTACTTGTCTTACGTCATGTGCCCTTGGTGGTCAATGATTAGGCTCATCAAAGAGAATCTCACGATCTCTTCTCTAAATTAAGTAATTGTTGGATGCTTTATTCATTAGTAATAGATATTTATAATTTAGGAAATAATTAAATCATTATAATATAGAAAATAACTATGTAACCTAAACAAATACAATTAAACAACAATTAACCTAAACAAACTTCCTAATTTAAAATAAAGTAACACCTTATGCTGGGAGGAATTTTAGTATAAAGTCCCTTAGTACATCCGAGTAGCCAAAATCCTTATCAGAAGCAGCTAGGAGTCCTATCCAGAAGTAAAAGCTGAAGGTGTAGTTTCTCCAGGCTCTGTGGATTGCCATCTGATTGGACTTGTTGTGGGGCCTCCTCTGGTGTACACGACCTCAAAATTTGTTATAGGGTGAAGGTTAGCTGATATGCACATAACGTCATTCCTGTTGATGTATTTTTCTCTTGTCTTTTCCTAATAGTATCTATTTTATTTTGTCTGTAAATCAGAGGGAATAGTATTTATTTCACTACAAAAACGAAAGTGTTCAGAAAGTTAGTTAATTATTCCTGAGTATTTCAATTATTTGGAACATGAACTAGATTCAATTGTATATCCTACAAACACTGAGTTTTTATCTTCATTTTGTTTCTCTGAGATGTCTAGAATTGGTTCTTGTATTGCTCTCTTTCAGGTTAGAGGCTCTGATTTGCATATACATATATATCTATATATATGATTACATGATACTATGTATATAAATATTCTCTTGGAGGAACCTAACATTTTTAATTGTCACTCAAGCAAAACTGATTAATGGTAACATGCCACCCATTTGTTTGTGTAGTGCTGGAAAAACTGAAAAGAAAGATAGAAGTACTGCTAAATGTCAGCTGTTTTTTTTGTTGGATTGTATAGTGTTGATAATATTCATCTAAATACAATTAATTTGCAGGATCATTATGTTGGTTGAAGCAATATGTGCTGGTTCCTTTATGAGTGTATATATTGGTGAGTTTTAAATCTTTTAGAACATTTATGTATTTTTCCTTCCAGATAGGGTTTATTTTAGAAGTAAAGTTGTGGCAAGGGATGCAAGGATGTGGTTTTATCATACTATCCTGGAAGGCAAATTATAGTACTCCGTCCTGAAAGTTTCTGAGGAGAATGCAATTTCTCCAACAATCTCTCTATGGGCAACCTTTGGTTTGATGAAACTGCTGCAAAAATTCTTGAGTTAAACTGAATTAAGACCCTCAATAATAGTAGATCCTGAAAGTTCAATTTGTTTCAGTTACAAAGTTTTGGATGCTGGGTACCAATTTCGTTGTGTCCTGGGCAGACGAAATAAAAAATTTAGTGGGTTGGTCTATAAGAGAGGGACATATGGCAGATTCTGGAGGGGCGGTTGAAATTATTATTTTTCTGTTTCCCTGTAGTTATGGGATTAGGATTAGTTTGCCAGTTTCTAATTTTAACAAGTTTATCCTGTGGATGCAGGAAGTTGGTTACATCCAAAAAGAAGTTTTTTTCCCTATGAAGTTGCTGAATATTTCATAAATAAGTACAATCAAGATCTGAATAAAAGATGAGCAGAATTCAGAAAGCTTCTTAGTTTCCTATAATTTGGAGATCAAAGGTTTTTCTCTTACTGAACATGTACTTCATATGTAAGAGATCAAAGGGTTCTTTCTCAATGATTCTTTTAGCCAACTAAAATAGGTCATGAAGGCAGAAGTCCAGCAAGAATGCTGATTGTTCCACTGCACAATCCCATAACTAATAGCAGTCAGAGGGGCGTAACTGTTGCTTCTTGTTATTTTTTATCTAGTTTGATATGTAAATTCTAACACGTGGCGCTGTTGGGATTAACCTCACCAATTTTTCAACTTGGGTGCTGTCACAGTCTTCGTTTTGGGATTGGGCCTGTTGACATGTAAGGTTTGCAGCAAGCATGAAGCTTGCGTGTTCGATTTTCAGCCTTGATGATATAGGGTTGGGGTTTGTTAGAAAAAGCCCTTCAATCACTTAGAGTTAGGTGCTTTCAAACCTTTTTCTTTTTTCATTTATTGGTAAGATAGATTATGTATATAGAGAAGAATATAGCTTTTGGTTTTCCAATTAATTAGATCTGACAAATCCTTACTAAACTAAATTTCTTGTTTTATTTCAGTCCCAACTAACATAAATTTCCTATTTTGCTTTATCCCTAAGTAACTTCTGAGCACTAAAACAAAAACCAAAACACAAGCAGGTAGGAAGAGTGATTTCTTCTTCCTCCTGTGAGACTTGTGCTACTGGCCTTTCCTAGCTAACTGCTATGCTGCATCTTGTTGTTCGTTGTTCTTCCCATATTTGGGGCATAGCATTGATCCTCTCCTTGAAATAGTTTCATTAGCAGCAACTAAAACATATTATGATAACTGCTCATCCAATATCTCAACACTCTACAACTCAATGTTTTCATCCTCCAGAAGTTTTGACTAATTTTCCTCATCATCATATGGTTAATCATAGTTGGAATTCAGACAATTTAAATGTCTCTCCTCCATCTTCGTCTTACTTAATTGTTTAACAAACAGTGACTTTGCAGGTGCAATAATATCAGCATTAATACACCGGATTCTATCAGAACTCCGCAGTTAAGTATGTTTGGGCGAAAGTAGTTGATGCAAAACTTATACATTGGTAATAAGAACTCAAAATTTGAAATAAACCCTCCCTACTCAACCCGCACTCAACAAAGGAGTGAAAACTAAGCTAGTTGATGCGGAACCCAAGATCAACAACGCGATCCAAAACTTATACATTAGCAATCAGAACTCAAAATTTGAAATAAACCCTCTCTACTCAACCCGCACTCAACAAGGGAGTGAAAAGTAAGCTAATTGGGATGATGATTTGAATTGATTAAACTCCATATGATGGAAGTTTGATAAGTGAAATCAATTCAAGAGGGATTGATAAAAATGCCACAAAAACTTATCTTGATAAGTTGAATCAATTTCTACTTAATGAGAGGATTGACAAAAACCTCACTAGTTGAAAACTAAAACTTTATAATTTTATTTTTCTCAAATTTGAATTTATTACAAGTAAGAATTGATGATCTATTTATAAAGTAGGTCATGTGGATAATAAGAAAAATAATCTCCTAATTTAATGGAAAAATTACATAGAAATTTAAATTTAGAATAGAATAGGAAAATTAACAAAAATTGGATAGATATGATCTCCTTTTATAGAAACTTTTTTAATTAAGGAAAATTTTAATTAATTGTGGTTGATTTAGGGGAATGAATTCAAATATATTTTCCTTTTTCACAAAATTTGGTATTTAAGGAGTTTTTCTCTTTTCTCAAACAAATTTGCAATTTAGGATCAATTTCCTCCCTTGGCCGATTATCCCTCTTAAGAAGAAAAATTTCCCGAGGGAGTAGGAGAGAAAATCCCATAGGAGTTTTCCCTTTCCTTGGTCACATCATCCCCTCCCTCTTAAAAAACGATTCGTTATTGAATCAGACACTTTTTATGTCGGGATTTAACCAATTCTACTTTTTTTTGAGAAATTGTCACCAAGTAGGACGTTGTATAAAGTCATTATGAAAATACTCCAAGTTACTCTGTTCCTGACCAAGTATCAAACAGCGAAGCTGAATCCATAAGACAAAGTTCCCGGCTTAGGAAGAAACAACACCCGAAGGATAATGGGTCTTACTACTAAGGAACGACTCGGCCCGAAAATCCTGATCCAAGAAGAAAGCCCGAATGTAATATGAGTTTGGATACCCGTAGGGTGTTGCAATGCACGTACATGATACTTGGTCCACACATCCACCGATGTTCCCCGGTCTTTGTGGTGAAACAGTCAAGGCAACCTTATACTCCGCAGGAAAACCAGAGATAGGCAACTTTCTCGACGCAGAGACCTGGAGGCCCACACGTGAGCAAGGAGGCCCACACGCACTGCGTGCACGAGTGCCCGAGAGCGCCCAAGCACGCGGCCCTCTAAGCCTGCACAAAACTGATCGCGCACGCACAGGCCCAAGGAGCCAAATGCTTGCACCCCGCGCGGACGGCCCAAACAGCCCAAGCCCAGCCTGTGATTCTCGCAAGCCTTCTCTTGTGCAATCCGCGCGGACCAGCTGGCCCGGCCCATCCGGGCAGCCCAAACCGGCAAGCCGCTCTTTTCTGCTTTTTAAAATATTTAAATTACTTAATATTTATTTATTTTATTATTTAAAAATCTTTTTAAAAAGTTTGGGACCCACTTTTCAAATTATCCACATGTGATTTATATGGATTTCACATGGAGTAAATATGAGTTTAAATGAATTAATATTTTATTATAATTCTATCTCTTATGATTGTTTAATTAATTTATTTGAGATAGAATAATTATTTTATTATTATTTATCCTATATTAAAATAAAATTTTGTTTATGATATTATTTTATTAATTATCTCAAGATTTTGTATTCGTCTAAATTGACCGAGAAATGCTATAAATAAGTTTTTGCCCCTAAAATGTAAACATAATATTTGAGAATAAATTTGAGAGAATTATTGAGAGTTTCAGTTTTTCTTTTTTTAATATTTTTGTTAAATTAGCTTTTTCAATTTTTTGGGAGTAAGAGTTTTCAAAGTCTTATTGAGTAAAGGAGCGGGAATCACTTA